AAAGGACAATCAAGAAGCAGCAGAATTTGCCCAGAAACGTCTTGCAGTCTCTGTCCTTGGTCCTTGGATGTTTTAAAGAGCAGACTGGATAAAGCCCTGAACAACCTAGTCCCATCTCACAGCTGTCCCTGCTTGAGCAGGGTGTTGGAACAGAGTTCACCTGAGGTGTCTTCCAATCTGAATTAGCCTACGATCCTAAAAAACCAAATCACCATACAAATTAGCTGTAAATTATTTGTATTAGAATAAAAAACTAAAATTGTGTTACACCCTTTAAAAATACTTAATGCTACAGCAGCTGGTGGCTGTCTGCTGTCTGTTAAATAAATAGCTTTTAGAAGTTCATGTCTTTCAATTTACTGATATTGCATTATTGTGCTATAAAGGATTTTCTCCACTGCTAGCAGGTTCAGATGTAAGACCTTTTGATAAACAAACCAGTGCTAGGTTGTATCAGACTCAACTGAAAGGCTATGTGCATCCCTTGATGTAACAAAGGTTTACATCACCTTTGGGAGTTCATCTGCTAAGCACTGCTGTACAGATGACTTTCTGAATTAATTTACCCCTCAGTACACAAGAATTTTCAAGGTCCCATGAGAACTGAAAAATTTTGTGTCATCTATTCAAAGCCATATTAAAAATGACCCTCAAGGAAAACCCTGCAAATTTCCATTAAAAAAACCTATCTTGTATCTAATGCTGTGATACTGAATCAAAATACAAGTTTTTATGACAAGAAAACAGAAACCAAACACATACCATGCAACACAACTGTCACACTAGAAGCACTATAGACTATAGCTTGCTTCTTAACCAGGAAAAAGATCTCAAGGTCATTGTGAAAAATTCCCCAAAAGCTCCATCTCATTGTGAAGTGTAGGCAGAAAAAATCAAGCAAAATGCAGACAGGGGTGGAAATAAAAGGGGCTGACCTACCTTTATTTGCATTGTATTAATAGGAGAGCTTGTTTGACAGTGCAATGGTCCATGTGTCTGAATATGAAGAATATAAAGAAGAAATTCTTCTCGACTGGATACAGGCCAACCGACACGGAGAACAGTATTGTTGATGGCACTTGGTCCTATATTGTGCAGCTGTCAAACAAACGTCATCAGTACTTTCCAAGGCAGTAAGTAACAACAAAAACCACAGCAACCACCATTTAGACATTTTCAAATTCTTAGTTTCCATAGCCTTGAAGTACTTTGGGAAAGATGTATAGATTATTAATATCATTTTATTGATGGAGAATCTGTGGCAGATAGGGAAAAGGAACTCTGCGTGTTAGTTACAAAGCCAGTAGCAAATCTGTGACAACAACCATTTTTGTCTGAATTTGTGTTCAAGAAATCCATCACCTTTCCCATTTTTTCCTATATATGAAAGAGCTGAAATTACCTAAGAAAGTATAAAAACCCCAAACCAAAACACATTAGAAAAATACACTGTACAAATATATACAATGAACCTTAAAAGAGCATACTTGGAAATAGTAGCTGAAACTTCAGGCACAAAAGAATCACATTTCAGGGTGCAGGAACAGAAGGTACAGCAGAGCTTAAACTAGTTCTTGTGATTAAGAACTCTATTTTCAACATTTATCAGTTCAAATTTCCCCAAAAGAAAAAAGAAACTAGTTTTCCTAAAGTAACATCCCAGGACATTATTCTTTTCTGGGAAAATGAGTAAAGGTAGAAATAATAGAAATTTAAAAATCTGGGCTATTAAAATATTTTCCTTTATCAGTTTACAATTTAAAAATATCTGATGACCACAGGAAGTTTGGATATGTGTTAACACTGGGCATGAGAGCTAAAGAAGCAGAACACCATGGAGCTATACTGAAAGTTTCTAGAGATGCGAGAACCTCCTTTTTGAAAATTTTGGTGACTGACAAGTTTTATTTAGAACCAAATAAAACCCACTTTCAATCTTGTATCTTCTTCAGGAATGGGTTTTTGGGTGGGTGTTTGGCCTTTTTTATGCTTTGCTGGTATCAATAAACCATGAAAGCAATTTCTTTAATCACTGTAACTATTTTAATACATTTCAAGTCATATATACAGTTCCACAACAGTCCAAATGCTTGAGACAGGTAGATTTGTTTAAGATTTTTCAGTTTAGAGAAACGTGTTAAGATGAGGAATTCACAAATAATATTTTGTATTTTACAGTTTGATTCATTACAGTTTAGTATTAGTCAAGCAAATTGTAATCTTACACTGCTGATTAAGCTCAGTTGCTTATATTTTCTTGAGTGCTAGTCTGTGAATTATAACCATATGTGAAGCACTCTGTTTTACCCCCTAGAATAAAGGTCATCCATCAGATTCCAAAGATGGCCTGTATTCCATGTAGTTCACTCAATGCACTTTTTTCTAATCTGAACTCTTCTTTTTTAATTGATGAATCATCCATAGAAAAAACCCAACAACAATACAAGGTAGAAATATGTATATTTCAAACATTAAGAGTGATTTTCAACAGAACGTTTTCTGAGCAATGAAGTAACAAGTTACATGTATGTCTACAGGTTTTTTTTCAGTTAGCTAGATGTTAAAGGAAATCTATTTTTCCTGTGCACAACACTTATAGCTTTTAATGAGAAACCAGTCAAATCACTGAAAATATTTGGCATCATTGTAATGAACTTTTAAGAACTGTTTTTAATTCTTGTCAAACACCCAAAATGTTTATAGGTCTCTTAGATGTCGAAGACGGACTCCTAGCATAAACTACTACCTTCTCCACTAACAGGAACAGATACTGGGGTTGTGAATTCCCAGATTAAATTTGGGTCATGTGCTAAAGTCAGAATATTTACTTTTCTAGCTTTATCTACTTGCAGATAAAGACAATAAACCAAATTCATCAGGATTTCCATGGAGGCAGCATGAAGTCCTGTGGCAACATATCTAATTTTTACCTCATAGATGTGTTCTACTAAAGGACCAAGTTCTTCTTCTTTTGTAGGTTCATCTCTGGGTTCCCAGTTGTGAAGTGGCAAAATAATTGTTGGGGGGTGAGACACTCTGTAATACATAAAACAGGTTAAAACAGTAACTGCTACCAGTGATCAGCTGGATTACTTTTGGAAAAAAATTAAGACCACTATAGAAACCTGAGGCCTTAAGGGCATTCATTTTATTTGGGCACATTCATTAGAATTAGGTGATGTGAATGATACAATGCTTCCATAAAGTACTACCCAGTCTTTACAGACTACTGAGGGTGTGCATTTAGTTTCATACTTCCTCTGATGGATGGTCCTTTACAAACAAGGGAGTGACTCTTTCTGTATTTAGAAAGAAGAATGCAGTCTGTTGGGCATTTACATCATTCTCACTGATGAGGTATCTGAATACATTATCCACAAAACCAGAGTAATGATATGTAAATAAATGTGTTTTCTCATTTCCATTTAAAGTCTGTAGATGTTTAATGCTATACATCTTCTTTCCCTGCAATACATTTTTAGATATTTAACTGCTCTGACTGTAAATTCCTGTAACTGCTGTTATTATTCCTTTAAAAAACCTTGCAAAGTAGTCTATCTCCTTTTACATGTGGGAAACTGAGGTACTGTGACTTCCACAAAGTTACAATGGAAATTCGTGTATCAAGAAACTGAATTCAGGACTAGAGCCTGAAATAGTGCTCCAGGCTTCCCATTTGCTTTGCAAATGAAGTGGCAGCTAAGGCATTCCCTGAAACACTGTTGCAACTTGCAACATGTAAATCAAACATAAATGAAGAAAACAGTGGCTTAATATTTGACATCTTTCTTCCCATCTTTCCTTCCCTTCTCTGTCTGATCTCAAGAAATTATCATTTCCATTTGAATCACAAGCATTTTATTTCTCATAAAAACTGGAAGTTCCTTGGAGGGGTCCCATTCAGATGCCAAACTTAACCTTATTCAGTTGTTGAGAAATTGGAATATCACATTCCAAGGATTCCTTTTAGCATGATAGGTAAGTTTTGGCACAGACATCTGTCATTTACTAGTACTGAAAGTAGCTCTTGGTGCTTAAATGGTAAGTATCACTCTTTCTTTACAAGGATCAACTCTCATTCAGTTTTGCTGGTTTCCAGAATCCGTAGTTTAAGGAAAAGCCATAAAATGTCAATGCTTGTTCTGCCAACACTGGAATTTTGCTGACAGAAAACTGTTAAAAAAGAATTGCTAATGAGTTTTTTTCAGAATATAACTTTTGACTAAAATGATGGACTTCTATCCACCAATGTTAATTTGCTTTCCATAGAATCTAAACAGAGAAAGCACCACTGCAGATTGCCCCTTCAAGAAGGGAACAGAAGACTGGATGTTTTTGTCACAATTGCTGACATTTTAAAGTACTTCAGGAAGAAACAAACTGTTCTTGCTTCCAGCTCTTATGTCATATACAATGAATGAAATGCCTGATAGAAACTTTTCTACAGAATTTAGCTTCTCAAAGCAGCAAGGGATCCCAGAGAAGAACAACTTAATACCCTCCAGCTGAAGTACAACTCTCCACGGAATTTAGGGTATCCTGGAGTATCCTGCTAACTCTAAATACCTCCCCAGACTTCAAAAGGCCAGCAGTTTGTACTAACAAGTATGCCAGAGGACAAATTTATAAGCCACACTAAGCAATAAAGGAAATGAAACATATTCATTAAAAAGTCCTTTCAGATGAGGTACTTAGCCTAACTTGCTATATTTCACAAATGGCCTTGTTTCCAATAAGAATTTTAATTATTAATTATTAATTATTGTCAGAGAATAGGAACTTTCCTGTGTTGTTACAAAAGCCAAGACACAGGGATCCTTAAGCTACCGGAAAAATTTGCAAACCAGAAACTGTATATAGACAAAAAGAAGCAGGCATGAGGTTTCAAAAACCAGGGCTTTCTGTTACACTCCCTGTGCGGTGTTTTTCTTATCCACAGAATTATGAAGTGGAAAGGGTAAATGTAGACATTCAATTAAAATGATAATAAAGGACATTTATTTCAACAGATTTTGAGGACTTCTACTATTGACATGAAAGTAGCAAAATCAGGTCAAATTAAACAGAAATCCTCTATTTTGACTATTTTATTTTGCATTTAACTGAGAATATTTTTAACATTTGAACGATTTATTAGACAAAGATTTTTCCTAGACTTTTAGGTGACAATGACCAGTCAAACAAGAGCACTGAAAAATAAGATAAAGGAAGTATGTTCTACAGAAAATGCTTATGTGGGATATACAAGAAGAATTCTGCCAGCTGCAAATCATCCCAGTCCAAATTAGTTCCTTCCTGAATCCCTCATTCCTCTAGTGCTCTTTCTGCAGTGGGAAATAACAATTACAACTATAAAATTCTTGAATTTTTATAGGATAAAAAGGTAAGCAGAATAATCAAATCTCAGTTATCAGAGCAACTGCTCATTGAATGAACTATCTAAGGAGTTACCTTAAATTTCTTTTGAATATTGAAGAAGATTTCTTCCTTTCTCATAGAGGCAGTATTTGCATGGGTCCACTGTGCAAGTACGTATGCATATATGCATATGCCCAATTTAATAACTACTTACTTTTCCTCAGTAGAATGTACAATGATTCCAGTCCCACTTCATGCAACTCTGTGCAGAGCAGTAGGGAAACCAATGCAAGATGTTTTCTAGTCCAAATGTGGACATAGTCTCTCTTTTATTTTTATCTAGGAAATTGTGAGCAAACAGTTCCCTTGGAGCTGTATGCTTTAGCATCTCTGAGCAATTAGCAAAATCTGTCAACAACGCATTTGGGAATGTTCCTTTGTACATGCATGCTATAGCCAATAAAATGAAAAGACTTAAGAGGAAAGGAACTGGAAGTCATTCAATTAAGTAATTCCTCTGTGTTTAATGACCTGTTTCTTAGCACTTCAGGCAGCAATTCAAGCTACTTTTTCCACTTGTGGGCATGCTCTTTTTAAGACCTGAGGATGTTTTGGTCATTTTTTGGTGTCTACCTATTTACCTCTTACAGAATTTTTCATTAAAAAGAACACACTATGGCACAGAAAGAATATGAAAGAGGCAAAAGGTTTCAAAAAAGTTTGCAAAGAATACAAAAAGTTTGTAAGATTTTTCTATGAAAGTGATGAGCAACCTCCCTAAAAAAAACCAGAATCCTCAGCACTGGAAGCAGCTCTTTCTGAGAAGTCTTGTATATGTATCCATAACCATTTCACTGAAACACTGAAACTCCAGCCTGTCCTTAACCTGGGTGTCCACTCATGGCAACACCTAGCAGTTGCTGGCTCCTAACATTTTCTCACACATCTGCAGCCAACCAACTAACCCCTTTGATTCTCATTTCCTCAGCCTCTACTTCTCTTTCTGTGTTACCTTCCCCCTCGTTTTGTATTGTTCACCACTCTACCAACCCAGCTCACCTCGCTAGATCACCACTAACCACAGAAAATGAGATAATACTCTCATTTCAGTTCTTGTTAAACATGTTGTCTTTCAACTGCTCCTTTTCAGAAATATAACCATTAACATATATGCACATAGTCTTTGAGTGCCAGTCCTCTTTTTTCAACCTAACTCTAGCCTTAGCATTAGTTTTCTTAACCTGGAAAACACATACAAAATGTGATGAAAAATACTTTAAAAATCTCCCTGATTTAGACTGAATATTAGAGCAGAAAATATGATCCCTGTGGTCTGCAAAATGCTTGGACTCTCTGCTGGCACTAGGTAGTCAAAGTATTGTCTTAGAAATGATAACAATAAATGGATTTTTATAAATACATAAAAGTATAAATAAATTTATTTTTATTTGTTTACACCTAAGGCAGCCCCTTGAGGTGCATCATGTAAGATCTACCCCTCTTGCATCAGCCAGGCCTCATGGCCTGATTGTGGGAGTGAAGTTGGACCATGTGCCTCCTGTTTTCCCCTTGCGGAGCTGAGAATGGTTAAGCTCCAGAGCTGTAGATTGAGAAGAGGAGATACAGGAAATCTGAGATCCCAGACAAAAAGCTTTTTGAGCAATTATTTGCTTTAGAAGAACATCCTGCTGACTTCCCCCAGGATGCCAGGGTAGGAGTCTAGTTCCAACATTTTGCAGGGTAGTCTGAGATTCTTATCACCCAGTTGCATTTTATAGTTTCCAAAACCAAGTTGTATGTGAAAACAGAGATAGAAATAGTATCATTGATCATATCCTGTGCTTGTTTAGTTTCGGTATCCCTTGTGCCAGTGGACAGGCACCTGCTTCAGATGGAAATGTAAGAATCCTACAGTAGTAGCTGGTTGACCTCTTGTCATTCCTTATTCATCCTTGCTCCAAGGGCCTCACTCTACTCTCTATTAGTATATGCCTTGCCATAACATGTTTCATCATTCCAGTCATAAAAGCAGCAGATTCTGCTTTTGTATTCAGAATTAAGTGCCTAAGTGGTTGCACAAGCAGACATACACATATGAACATATATTTTGTACTAGTAACATCCATACACAATTTGAATGTCCAAATAAAATGTTGCCTTTGACTGGTGTTACTACAATGTGGGATTCTACAGTGTGCTGCATTTGCACAGACACTCAGTAAGTTTAACGGAGCCCAGGTGAGCAGTCTTGCCCTACATGACCTGGTAAGTCCTTAGTAGTTCCATCCTGCAAGGCTTGCAGGGGTAAGACTCCCTGGGAATTCTGAGGTGTTCTTGGTGGGTAATGCATTTGGGATTATAATATGTCAAAAGATTCACTACATGAGATTATTATATGTGGAAAGATTCAATACAAAAAATAGTTATCATTATGAATTGAAATGGTTGAATACTTACCCTCTGATCTGTACTTTAGCCACTGCACTGATGTTGATATGGAGGTTAACTAAATTGCTGCTGGCATTAATCTTGTTAGAACTGGAAAAGATATGTACAAGAGTTAAAAAAGGTTATTTAGCAGAACTCTAGATTGTTATAGATACAACACGAAATACCACAAGGCCTACAATCAGGAAGAGATGCCATTGGACATATTACAGCATGGGCTTCCTGTAGCCACTCTTCAGTCCTGTAAGGCACTTAAGTTTGATATTATTTGAGCTTATCATGTGCTTAATAATAAAATCAACTCAAGCTTCCTTTGAAGAATCCTGTGCATGAATACGATGATACAAATTTATTTAGCTCAGAATGTCGTGTAAATTCCCTTGTTCAACCTGGCTATATGTATGGATAGGAGTATCTTAACAGAATACAAGGGTGTTTCATGTATTGGAGGAAGGCATTGATAATGAACAAGATAGGCTTTGTTATAATCAAATTTGCTTTTATGACTCTTCAAACCTGTGACTTCTGCATGACAGAGTCTTTGAAGAGAAAGAACCAAAATAAACTGTTTCTTTACCTTTCTCATTTTCTCCCCTCCTCTATCCAGAGAGCGTTTACACTCTTAATCCCACTTAGCAATGAAAACAGATCCCTATGTTTAAAGCCTGGTGCTCTCACTCATTTTATTGTCTTTTCTTATTGCAAATCCTTAGTAATAAAGCTAGTTTCTTTTACTTCAAAAGCCATTCCTATGACTATAGCCCATTCACATAAAGAAAGGTTTGCAGGTTCAAATTCATGAAGGTAGTGAAAATAAATAATTATAGACTTAGAATGTATTTAATTATGGGATTAATGATGCTAAGTTTGGAGGTTTTTTTCAAGTAAGTGTGGAAGTACTTCCTTGCTCCATGGAGACTGAGTTTCTATTGCTGTCACAGTTCACTGTTATCACATCTGGGTAGCATCAGTCAAATGGAAACACTCAGAGGAGGCCAGCATTCCCAGCGACTGACTCCTGAGAAATTACGGGCAATACTGCTTTGATCCAGACTTTCTGGTTACAGATTGCTAAGATTAGAAGCAGCTCTAATTTGTTTGTAAACTAATGCAGATTTCCCTCAAACATAATTTGAACTTTTGATGTAATCCTCTATAGCCATTGCTTTGAGTACGAAAGTACAAAAATTGTTTAAAGTATAAAAATGACTATACCAGTAATTTGTTAGAATAAGCCGCTCTTCAATTTGTATAATGGTACTATTATCCACAGAGTTAAAATACAGATTTTGATCATATATATTTCGTATTCAAATCTTGTTTGTGCTTTATGGTATTTTGTAGATAAGAAAATAGTTTAAATAGAAGTGCCAGGACACCTCCTTCTCTAAGGGGTATATAATTGCCTAGCAAGATCCACATCAGAAAAGGAATCAGATTTCAAGACACTACTCAGCCTCTTGCTTATTTCCTATAAGTAATGAACTTCAGTCTTGCAAACCGAAATATTTATTTTCCACTTTATGTTTTGGAGTAAATTAAAGGTCTTTCTTTTGAATAACTCAGACCAGGACACAAATTCAGACATGTTCTCTGCTTCCCTTTCCTTCCATTCAGGTAATTTCCTCTTTCTGCCTTATGGATTTCTATTTCCTATTTCTTTTAAGATTGTTTTTTACTTGTTCACTGAGGACGTAGAATTGCATAAACTGTAGTGGTGCTTGAGAATGAACGTAGAAAGCAGTGAGTTTTAACTGTAGGGTACATTCCCTATGCAAGAAGTTTTACTTTTTTTTTTTAAGTAGCTGGGTGCTTTTCAGTATTTTGATACCAGTTTGTGGAATCTGTCCTTTTTAGTAGCCCAACAGATCTCCGCCTTTTACATTTCAGTGAATCACATGGAGGAAGCACGAGAGGTTGCTGTCTCCTGAAGTTCAGACTTATTCCTCAGTAAAGCCTTGTCACTTTTTCTATGAAAATGACCTACTGTCAACTCTTATTACCTAGAAGGATCTAGCTACTCAAAATGCTCTGAACCTCTCCAATTTCACAGCATGAAAAGGCTAGTGACAAGAGCCTCTGATACCCATTTAAAACTGTATTGCTTGCATTAATGACAGTGAAGAGTGGCATGGACAGGGGACCTACAAGTTACATGTTACATCTTGTATCTCTCTCTGGAGGAGATGGGCTCAGGGTGCCATGGGCCCAGGTTTGCATGATCTCCAGCTCACCAGCAAGACCTCCAGGAGAGGGCTGAGACCTGACCAGGCAACTCACTGTCTTCTGTGGAGTTGCTGTGCCCTTCCTGAGTTTCAGTATGTCCTTTCCTTCAAGGGTTACATTATGGAAACATGACTTAAACATTTTAAATGTCTCAGTTATTTACCATAGTGAACATGATCAAGGCCCTCATTAAAGGCCAGACATTAGCAATTAAGTCTTTGTGTGTGAGGCACGTAGGGCTCCATCAGGAACTCCAGTGTGTATTTGATGAGGACAGATGGAGCAGAAGTCCTGTCACCTACTGAAAAAGTTCCAGGTTTGTTCTTGCTGTTATCTTAACCCAGCCTGTCCTCTGCTTTTTTGTCACTGTGGAGGAAGTACTGCTCAGCATACAACAGAAGATTCCTCAGCAGTAATATTTCAGTCCCACAAATATGGAGGAAACTAATGGGAAAATGACAAAGGTTCACCTGCTTCAAACTGAAAGTGTTTTCTCTCTTCATGCCAGTAAATCTGTTGAGTAGATTTTAACTGCTCTCCTTCTATTTTCTAAATTGTTGTGAAGAAGTGGCAGGTTTTTTTTTTTTCTTCAGAGCATGATATGTTTTTAAATACAGAACTTTGTTACAGAGTGATCACTGTTCATTAATTCTGAAGTGGAAAACGAAGTGCAAATTTGGCAAATCTGTAGAAGATCCTTGGATCACTGACCAAAATCAATTAACCTGAATTTTAACAAAATAAAATCCTCAGCATAACTCTAAGACTGATTTTGCTAAGAGCTAACAAGCCTCCAACTCCACAAATCCTCCTGAAGAAAGCTACCATAGGAAAGCCCATGAAGTAACTACTGACACTGAAGAGTCAGAGCGACCTTTTTATATATTAAACTTCAGATATCAATAGGAATTCAGAATTTAAATAACCATACTCTTGATAAAACATCTAACCTTTTTATTTGCAGCTCAAAATTGATGCTGAAATCTGCATTTTCAAAATGCTGTACAGAAAATCGAATGCCTGTAGAGAACTGAGAAAGAAACAAAACAACAGGTTACTAAAAATGGCTGATCTCTCCATATCAAGCAGGACTGTTCAACATTGCATTTCACAGACTTGTATAGGATACCGCTGCTTTGTAAAATTAATATGAAAGAATATCAACTGGTTGTCTTCAGGAAAAAATACCATCCTGCCTGTGTATGTCACCAGACGGAAAACTTGGCTGGACAGAGAAGCATACTCCTAAGAACACAGCAGTGGGTCCTTCTTCATCCAGACAGTCTTTGCTTTACTTTGTCAAGTCAAAAGAGAATAATAGCTGTCTGGCACCTCGCATCCCTGCCTCCATCCATGCATGCCTGTATCCAGGTCTCCAGGGCTTCCTGCCCAATCCCGTTATCTCTGTCACTGTGACATATGAGCTGCATGTTTTAGGTGTTGCGGGGCTGACTGATCACCTGTTTTTCTTCTAGAAGCTAAATTAGCAGCAGCTTGATATTTTAGTTTGATTTGGTTTGACTTTTTTCATTGCAGTTCAGTTCAGAGGAATACAACCTCAAAATTATATTTGCAGTCCAGTTTGCCAAAACTTGCAGTGTGTGACCACAGAAGATAGAGGGTAAAACACACAGTTCCCAAAACTGAAGGAGATAAGGGCTTCCACTGGTGCTCCCTTGTGTTCATACAGACCATGCTTCCTCCCTTTGATAATTTCCATTTGATTGGCAAGAAGGGCATGGAGTAAAGCAGAACAAGTTAATTCAGAAGAGAGAATGGAATTGCAGGGCCAACTAAAGAAGGAACATACAATAGCATATGGTGAGGTCTCTGCAACCCTCTTGCTGGACATATTTACAGCTCCAGTATGTAAGTAGCAGGGGAGCAGGGGAAGATGCCATCTGCCCTCCATGTTAAATTAATAAAATTAATAGAATCATAGAATCATTTGAGCTGGAAGGGACCTTTAGAGGTCATCTAGTCCAACCCCCCTGCGGTGAGCAGGGACATCTCCAACTAGATAAGGTTGCTAAGAGCTCCATCTGGCCTGACCTTGAATGCCTCCAGGTATTGCAATGTTTAAATGTACTGCAATGTTTAAATTAATCTTTTTAATTGCCTCACTTCAACTGCATATGTTTTAAATCTGGTAATTTCTGAAATGCAAATTTTGTATCGAGACTGACAGCGAAGTCTACAGCCTGTAATCTTGTACAACTTCTCACTTCCCCCTACCTCCCCTATTGCCTAATGGTAGAATTTCCTGCCAGATAACTTGCACACTGCTTTCATTTTTCTTAAAAAGGATGGTTACATATAGCCATATTCTCCATGTGGAGAAACAATCTTCCTGAGAAATTCATCAAAAAGGCATTAGGAAATGAGGACATAATTCCTTCATCTCTGCCAGTATCTGACTAGATTACAGGGGGCGGGGGTGTGGGAGAATGAAAAAGAGTTGTCTGCTTGGCATACCTTCCTTAACATACTTGGGGTAGCATTGTCAGCAACAGGACAGGACACAACAATGTAGAGTTTTATGTTTGGGACCTAGATTCAACATCACTGAAGAGGAGGCATTTTCCTCTGTGGCTGTCATGTCAGATGTTTAAGCAATTAGTTTTTCCCAAGCATTATTTTTTTAAAATTTTCATTCAATTCTCTTTCTTTCCTCCCTTGCAGTGCTGCACTGAATCTTAATCCATCTCCAGGATGAGACTTAGCTAACATGTTTCAATTACTTTCAGTTGTTCTATGCCGAAAACAATATTGTTATCATAAAAGAAATGGCAAGTTCAAATCTTTGAATTTTGACCATTTTAATGTCACAGCTAAGCTCTCTTTTTGGAAGTAAAATCTTTAAGATGAAAAGATAATGCTCATTAAATTAAACAGAAGCTGAAGAGCTGACTTGGGATAGAAATGTAAACTATTTTTAAGACCACTTTTTGGAAATTATTTTAACTGTATTGATATTTCATTCACCTTAAAAAATATAACAATTTTTTTAATCTCTGAGACAAAAATTTCCAAATATTCAATTCAGCATTTCTGTTACTGCTTTTACTAATCAGTCTACATAAATTTGTTTCCACTTACAGCAGAAAAAAGATTTGATGAATGAAGGATAAAATTTTCCTCAGCTAGAGCAGATATGAAGTGCAGTTTTGACGATCTATTATACTCCTGAGGCTTAATCCCTTATTTAATGCTGAAACACACTCCTACCGTACGAGTCTAATAAGCAGCAGATGTTGCCTTTGTATGGTCATATGACTTTGTTAATGTCACGTAGCCCTTGGCATTGCTCCTAATAGTGGGGCAAAGATGCTCACATGCCCTTGCTGAAAACCCTCTGAGGCCAAAGGAGTTGAATTTGCTAGAGCTTGCAACTTAGCAATCATTCAACCTCTGTATTTTAGCAGGACATCCATTTCATCAGAATAGTTTAATTTTATTTAAAATTTTCCAAGTGAAATTAGTTTCATTAAAATTGCTTTATTTTCCACATTAGTAATATCATATTTCTCTGAAATACATGACATTTCTGCTATTACTGATAAGCTTTAATCTGTTACTATGTTTGACAGGATCTAGGAGTACAGTGGGAGACAGAGGGCTAGCTTTTTTTTGTAGTGTCTTACAGTGCATATGAAAGATAAAACCTCTGTGCTCTTGAAGAATCAGTTTGGTACATACCAAGAACTAGGCAGGGTTAGAAGGCTCCCAGCCTTGTTTCTATTCATTTCTATTAACTTCCAAATTGTTCTACCAGAATTTATAATAAAACCTACATCTCACTTGCTAAGGCTGCTGAATAGGTATCAGGAAGCTTGTCAGTTTGATCCATTTCAGTGCCATAAATAAGTACTCTGAGCACTCTCTGCCAGTGAGATGGTATCACAGGTATTCAGCTTGCATTCTGGGCCATATACTATTGTGATTTTCCTTCCCATTTCTTTTTATCTTCTTTTTTACCTTTTCATCTTCTTTTAACCACAGAGATATTACTGAAAAGATTAAGTAATTTTTGTGGCCAGTAAACAATTTTGAGGTCATAGATTTTCAAAAGTCAGAGATATACCAATTTTTATGACAATAACGCATTTTGAAGATGTGAAGTGTCAGACAACTCTGTAGCCCGCTGTAGTAATATCCCATGGGTTATATCACAAAATCCTGACATAAACCTCATACTCAGAAGTTGATGTTAAAGAGTTCAAGAATTCTAGGATTTCAGGGTGCTGAAAAGTCATTATAGTGACTCAACAGTTAAGAGTTTTAGGAATGTTTGATTTTGACCTAACCCTCCCTTCCTACTCCCTCACAACTTCCACAAAGAGTCCCTTTCTGACCAAATATTTTGAGAATAACTGATCTCCTGCCAGAGTAGAATTGTTTTGCAAAATTGGAAATGGATCAGAGCAACCTTTCATGATTTATGCAATTTGTACAAAGGGCTGGTATTTTGCTTTTGGAAGTACGTTTACCATCATAAATAAGTTTGGACTGAAAAAGCTCAAGTCCTTTCACCTTTATGAAGCTTCCAGGAGAACTGGTTTCAAAGATAAAGTTAGGCTTTAAGCTTTCACTCATTATAATCAAACACTTTTGCCATCTGGCTTTGTAATGCTCTGTCTTCATATGCCTTAATTTTCAAGGGTTGGATTCTTTAGTTGTAAGCCAGAGTATCCTTAAACATGTTATGAACCCTGTTGTTTTATTCTGCTACATTTAAGTCCCTCTTTATGAAGTATTTCGCTTAGGAATATTTGGTAACAGTGTATTTACGGCAGCACTAGATCTGATTCTGAAGAAAAACAGGACTAGTTATGCTGTGAGAATACTTAAGGAGACAGGTGAGAGTAGTACTGCTTTAGTGGCCACCAAATAGCATTCCTGAAGTCTTCACACTGCTCACATTTTGGGTCAAGGATGATGTGGAAACAGGGCTTTGGATTCAAAGGGAGGAGTGTGAGGAGCTGTGGTCTAATACCCCCACACTCAGACCTTTCCATTGCTTATGTTTATCACAATATGCAAGCCGCAAAGATTTGCTCCTAGCTTGGTATACAATCTTAGCATCTCTTGTGTTTAATCTTTCTTTTCTCTTCCAAATCCATGGGTTTTTAAGCCCTCCCCCGCACTGTCCCCCACATCCCAGTCATCCACAAGATTGTTGTTCACTTCTGTCTGTATCTTGAGAATTTGCTTCTGCCATGAGACTAACCAGGAAAACACTAAGCAGATATCTAAATTTGCTGGTTTTCTGGTACAAGAAACTATCTGCCTTGACTTGGAATTTATCTAGTGCTTTGGCCCACCATTGCCTCCCATCACCCCATTACAAAAACTCCATTCCTCAGAAATGTTTTTAATTACTCTTATTTTTTAGGAGTTTCATTTAGTAGAATAAAACAAAAACAAAAACTACAAAACCTTTTAGCCCTCCTCTCTATGTCCTTCATAGAAAATGTTTATAGTACCCCCTTCAGACTTCTAGTTCACATTAGTTTTACAGAGAAGGATCCTCACCAGGTAGGTTCCTGTTCCCAGTAGGTTCATCACCTGGAGTTCATTTTTCAATGGTTTCCAGCTCCTTGTAATCCCAAAGAGTCTCCCTGGGACTGCTCATGACCATGAAAGCAGATGACTGTATAAGACACCTGGTTTCACATTCACTTTCAAAAGCTCTATGACTGATCTGAAGCTAACTCTACGATCCAAACAAGCTTATTCTAGTCCCAGTTTCCTATTATATAACCCATTTGGTTCTTTTATTGAGGGTCAGACATGAACTGCTTCAAGATTGTAAGAGGCCAGGAAAACGTCCCTCCATAGAGAATCTGAAAAGTAAAATATTGTTCTTCCATAGGACAAACCCTAACTTAGTAGGGATTTTGAAAATACTAAGGAGATTTGCTTTGGTTTCTTTACAAAGCCCCCGGTCCAATATGAAATGCAAACAGTGGTAGTTTTCAATAAAAAGCTGTTTTTTATTCCTCATATAATGTTCATGCTGTTGACTGCTTCATTTTTTATTAGGACTTAATTTATACTTAATCTAAGTATAAAATCATGGATTATTTGTTTTTAGTTAAATATTCATAGCATTTATGAATTTATGAGCAGTGCTAGAATTTCTCTGCAAGGGCATCCATGGCTGAACATTCCTGGGTTCAACACTTTTGGCATTGCCCTGAACTGTTTTGTCATGAAACAGGGACACGTGAAAAAAATTGTGGAATGGGTAGCACCTTTTTTATCTCCAAACCGGTGTTCAATACTTATCTGCTGTTCATCATCAGTCATTATTCACTTCCACTTTTGCCTAAATACAATGCTACCAATGTTCCACCTAATATGTAGTATGATTTATGAGTAGCTGTCTTAGGAAAATATTTAGAATCACACTAATAACTTGAAGGAAAACTTGATTCCAACTACATTTTCAAGGATATAAATCATGACATAAATTGATAAGACAAACCTTATGCACTCAAGATGAGAATCAGGCTAAAGAAGCTGTCATTTACTATACGTATCTTAAGTAGAAAGAATACTAAAAGGGAGAAATAAACAGATCACGTTATGGATTGGGATTCTCTTCTCATTATATTAGTGCATCTTCTGTGACTTAAAATTGAGTCACCCTCATTTTCTTTGTAGTAAGTGAAATAAAACACAGGCTCTAGTATCATTAATCTTTAAGAATAACGAATCGTTACTTTTTCAGAAGCACAGCTCTGCCTTTTAGTACACCAACATTTTCCTGTCCAAGTAAATAATTTGGTTTACATGCTGCTTATTGGGAAATTCTGCTAATTGAACAGATTTCCATTTGCTCCCCTTTAAAGTTCAATTAGATAAAAATCAGTAAATACATCTGGTTTTTCCTTACGTTTGCGTCAGCCACCATGGGGTTCCCAAGATCACAAACCACCATTCTAGTTTCATTTTCCATCTTGTAATCACAGCTCAAAACACGCAGTGCCTGTAACAAAAGGACATCAATATGGAGGTCAGAGATCACAGTGAAATGTATTCAGTTGGGAAAGTGATGTCTTTTTGACTGTGACATTTCTTTTGATTTCAGACATTTCTGCAGTGCGCTATCAAAAAATTTAATTGGTTACTGGCAGACAATAGGGGAAAACTCATGCCAGGGAAAAATAAACAGGAAAGTTTCCCAGTACCTTAAAAGCCCTGATGAGATCACTCTATTTCTAGTTTTAACATACTGCTTTGTTGTCGTGAATCATTCCTACAGCCATAATGACTCAACAGAGAAAAAAAAGAGTAGGCAAAACTGGGTAAGGAGAATGGGCCTCACATTAATTGCAATAGTTGTATTATCCATCACCAGAAGTCTCTATAGTGAATTTCTGGCATTGGCAGAACTTTATTATGGACCAAGTCTAGAACTTTATTTTCTGATCTATGTTAAAGTACTTTGAACATTAAATACTTCTGTAAAAACATAAACTGTTACCTATGTTTATAATTCAGCAACAAAGCAGATACATTTTCACATTATTAGACATTAAGGTTTTTGTTTGTTTATAGCAATAAGCAAAATTTAACTGTTTTTCCAGCAACTATTCATTGAAAGTCCAGCTTGTACCTAACATTTCTCAGGCAGTTTTGTGTGATAACTTTGAGGATACACTCATATAATTTCCCTCGAAAGCTCCTAATATAAAATATATCCTACTTTTTTTTTTTTTTTTTTTAACCCTTTAGTCTTTATCACTAGTTGCTATCATCTGTAAACAAAACAGACTCTATAAGAGGAACAGCTATAGAATTGTGGAAGGTAGGAGATACAAAGCAAGACAAAGCAACAAAATAAATTTTTTCCCTGTTTTCCTCCCTGTCATACTCAATAAAAGAAAATACTTCATATATGTGCAGAAGCAAACCAGCTTTGTAAAAGCAGGATGCAGCTAGTTGTTGCCGTAAGGCTCTCCCGCTACCTTTCCTCTCATTTGTGATTCTCACAGATTAAGCAATACATGCAAGGTCATGGTCTTTATATAAAAAGACCTGGGAAATCTCCAGACCACTGACAGCCAATTCATTCCTATCTGTGAAAGCCAACATGGACATGCTGACCTTATCATTTCCTGAGATTAAAAGAAAAGACAGGGCATGTCCTAAAAGGAGCCCATGTGAAGCATGCCCTCAGTACACACCTCATTGTATATTGGCACTTTTGCAGTTTGCTAGGAGGAAACGAAGTTTGTTACGCAGCACGTCCAGTGCACTAATGGCCTTTCCAAGCCTCTCTAGGACTGGCAGTGGGAAGCAACACATGGGAGAAGAGAGGGTGTTAACACAGTTGAAACCAAACTTGTCTGGAAAACTGTTCATTTTAACTTGACATGTGGGTTTATAGTTTTGATTTTGTTTGGAGTGGGGGTTGAAATTGAGGACTAAATGTTAGAAAATTAATATTCATCTATATTTGATATTTGGCAGTTTCTTTATTAATGCTGTATCGTAGACCAGCGCAGAGTAAATCAGTCCTTATCACACAATTTTTGACCCTCAAAGGCTGAGCAAATAGAGGAGTTCTGTGAGTAGGTTTTCTGCAATTTGGAGGCTATGCTTTTAGACTAAAAATAATTAATGACACAGAATTTATATGACCAGCATCACAAAAGCTAATTTGTGCAGCATAAAGATGTGACAAAGGGTCAGCTGTAGTAGAATTTCTTCAATACAGAGATTTATTGCCTTTGTTTTTTCACTGATCACCTTTTTGAGGTGGTTAAGTACAAAACAGGGAAATTAAAACCAGGCAGGAAGCAAGCAAGAGCAGAAACTTATACACCTGGTATTGTCAGTATCATTGAGTTCATATGTAAATCAGCCAGATGGAAGGTTTTGTGACAAAACCCTTCTACCTGCCACTGGTAGCAATTTATATTTTCATAGCAACACATGGTCTTTTTGGCAGTCCTGAGCAGAAGCAAAACCCCAACAATTAACACATGTGCTCCCAGGGTGCATTTTAACTAGAAAATGATTGGATGCTTGAAGTAATCCAGGCAGACTACAAACTTGAAACTCTTTCTGGTGGTCTTAGTGTTGAATTACTAATTGATGCCAGAATAGTTAAGCACAATAGGCTGCAGAGTAAAATACCTCCTCTTTTTCCTTGATCAACAACTTCCAATTTTATTTTCTGAGGAAAAGTGGATGGATTAAGTACCAGGGCCCAGAATCTAGCTTCTCATCTAGCTGATGTATGAAGAACTAATGTTTGTCCTCAAAATCACATATCTAGCCAGCCACCATGTACTTATTCTAAGAATTTTCAGGTAAGACAAGAAGGTTTCAGGTCTTCTCCTATTTTAAGGGATTGTCATACTTAAGTTCAGAAAAGCATGGGGATAATGGCTCAGAGCTTATCCACTGCAATATAAATCTGCTTGTGATTGCAACAACTTTGCAGTTTCCAGCCTGAGCAGACACAGTTATGTCAAAATACATAATGTTTTTAGTGTGGAACAAATACCTATTAGGGCTTTGTATTTGCCTGATTTACTTCTACTAATTATTCCATGAGAATTTGGGTTCCAGCCATTGTTACTAAGGCAGGATCTAGCTGTTCAATATAGGGAACTCTTTCACCAGGCAAAAGATTAGTGGACAGTATTCAGGCAAAGGCTTTGGTGTTCAAACACACAATCATGCTATTGTAGCGTAAGAATGTACCATACAGCAAGTATAAAACATGTCCAGATATACTGCTGACCATGGAAATGTGAGATAACATAACATGGTTATACTTTTTCCATTGCAGCTAATTCCAGTAACTCCTCACTTAATGCATATGGGCAGTTACTACAAGCCAATGGGTTTCCAGTAACTAGTAAAGCTGTGGTAATTTACTCACTTACCTGGTCTCTGGACCTTCAAAGTGTTTCCACAATAAAACTAATGAATAACATATTTGATTTCATTGTAAGCTGTTGTATTTCATTAACCAGCTTTTGATTGAAGGAAGTATCAGTATGTGCAAGAATCAATGAAACTTCAAAATCACATCCTTGACCTCAAATTTTGAGATTACACACATTCACTTGGGTCTCCATTTGCATATGCATCTCTGCAAATTCTACTCTTTTAATACGGTTGCTCAGTCTATGTACAATATGATGACAACAAGATAATGACAACTGAGGCAGGTCAAACATTGTATTCCACAAAGCTGAAGGGAAGAGGTAGAAGGAAAGTGAATTTTCAGTTAAGCTGTTGACCGTAACACTTTCTGAGTGTAATTCAAATGATCTAGAATAACGCAATAAATTGTTCCAAAAAAATAAGGTTGGACAGGAAGCACTTAAGGGATAAATTTGTTTATCCATTAGACAGACTAAATCCAGAGTAGCCTCATACTAAAGTAGCCTAATATCTGTGAGTATAGTTACTTTAAAATGATGGCACCATAACAGAATGATTTGATTCTAAAGATTTTTCAGTTCCATCAGAAATGTATTAAAAGTGATTTATTCAGCTCATTACATTTCATTTATTCTGCTCTCAGTCCACCTATTTTGCTGGCTCTGAGGTGAGTATTATCTCTGCCTTAATACAAGGAATTCCGCAGTTGGAGAAAAACAGCTACACAGAAGATTGTCAACACTGATACATTGAAGACACAATGAAATCCTTAGATGCAGAGCTTTAAGAGCCTGATTGCAACAGGCTCTACCATAAAGACACCTGTCTGCTGAAATTACTCTGTATCAAATTAACTACATTTCAGGAGCAGTCACAGATGCCCCATTGGCAGAGTGCAGCGTAAACACAAAAATAAGAAGTGAAATTCTGAATCCACTGCAACTGACAACAAAATGTTAATTTTCATCTATGGTACATGCCTCAAAGTACCCACAGACTGAAATACCTTTTTTCCATATACCTCAGTGTTTACTGCATACCAATGTGATAATTTCTTCTGTGCTCTTGTCAGGGGGTTCAAATTGCCATTTTTTTAAAAAGCCCTATAGGTTGAATTAATTGAGTCCCTCTTTAATTTATACTCATTTATACTATGACCCCTAGGAATTTAGTGATCCTGGTAACACAAGAACCTCTGATCACTCTGGGGAAAAAACTGGAAAAACCTGCTAATTCTTGTTTTGACTGATCGAATTACTTAATTTGTACATTTAGACAGAAAGAATTAAATGAGAAAACAGAACAGGAAGGATATAAAAGAATGTCTGAGTTTAAAAATGTGTTTTTTCATTTTAATTTTCTTTTTAAATTGTATTGCATATTCTTCTTTGTCATGTTGACAGCAGTTTTAGGTGACATATGGCAGTCCAGAAAAGCAACTGAATACATACAAAAGCCAACCTCCATCAACAGTTAAATGCCAGAAAATTTTAGCTTTGTCTTTTTGAAGAAAATTACAATATCAATTTCCTTTCCAAATGCACTCAGAAGTGAATTTTCTAGTTATTTAATGTAACCACAATATCATTAAGACTGTAGTTTTAAAAAATATATATTTACACTTTAAAAACTATAGAAAGAATAAACTTGCTTTCAGTACCATATGTAATCCCTGTGAAAACTGTCCTTGAAATGCAGAAGGGAGGATAGTAAGAATGACGTAGATATCAGGATTAATGTTTTGATCCTTCTCAGAAAGAACATAATGACATCTCTTTGAATGGAGTAAGTACGAAAAGTAAGAGAATATGAAGTAAATTATGTGTTGTAGTGAACTAAATAAATGCGGTCAAAAAGGCAGCAATTTTTCTATAAATCTAGAAGGATTCAGAATTGGATTTGTCAAAAATGTGTTTTATCTTCCATAAAATCTGAAGAACATGAAAAAGATGCACTGTTTCCTGAGCTTTTAAAAATTGGTTTTCAAAAGAGAAAGAACATTAACACTTTTTCCCAACCCATTCCAGCTTCTCCTTATTTTTCCAAAGCACCAGAATCTCCCACCTCTTTTTTCCTTCCTTTCCCCATGAGTCTACCCTGCTGGCACTAAAAAATTCAATTTTTGCTAAAATAATGAAAAGCTCTGAGTGATTTCTGTCCAGTCCAAATGATAGATGCATGCTAATATGTACTGTGAGTTTTGGAATAAGTGCCTCTCCTGACATCTTTGGTAATGGCCAAAAGAGCAGCCAAAGATTCCTAAAGAGCAACAAAGGAAAAATATAACCATGTGTAGTATATTAAAGAGAACTTTAGTTTTGTAGATCACAGTCCAAAAAAACACAGGCTATGCTAAGAGATCAAAAGAAACAGACAAAAGAAAGAGGTTGGTGTCTTTACTTATTTGTTTTGTGTACAAAGATACGCTTCTGAGATGTGAGGTTGCAGACAATTTCCATAGTCTCATCTTTGGTGACATCATTAATTCTTGTCATTTTTTTCAAACTGGGTTAAAAGCCCATTAATAAAGACACTGACAGAAGGAGAATAAGGAAATACCTTGTAAGTTACTTTCAACTTCCTTAAAAACATTTGTCTTTAGAAAGGAAATTAACTTGCTTTCTCCCACTCTCACCCTTGAGGCCCTTCTGAACATTCCAGGCACTGACAGAAAAAAGCAAGCTCATGTTGCAACAGCTTGGGAGATTTATGTGCAGATGGGTTGATTCAGACTTGCTGTCCAACAGAGAATACACGAACACTGCTTGTTTGCAGGATAGTGTTTCCTCTTTGCTCTTAAAAAACAAACAGACCCCAAAAGAAAACACTATATGTTAAGTACAGCTCAGCAGGACTTCAGTCAATGTTAGTCCTTCTGTGAACGCTAATACATTTTACATTATAACTGCTTTTTCGGTCTATCCATAAGATAAAATAATTGATGACAAAGGAAATCAACTTTGTCAAGTTTATACTGTAGTTAATGTTCAGCTATTCAAGATATCAGAGACTGGGATGCCCTTAATAATGGTAAAACATTGGTGTGTTGGGAGCATGAGACAGCAGTGTCCAAGTGCCTGGGGTTCAGCAGGGCTCATTAACTCTGACTGAGAGCTGGTACCACAGGATTCAATGTTGGAAGTACTCAGGGGATTCTGCACTATCACTCCCCACTACTGCCAGGGTTTACTGGTTCAAAATCTGGTGTGAATACCTCTAGCCCTAGGAGAAATGTGACAGTATTTGTGTGGTATTATAACTAAGTTAATAGCAAGGAGCTGGACCTGAGCTGGCTCTGAACAGAACGGTCCTGTCCTTCCCATCTTCTGGTGACATGGCTAATCTTTTAGCCTGGACTATGTGAGCAAGGATTGCTGGAAGTCGATGGAATCTCCCTTTCTATGAGGCACCTCTCCTACTCTCTGCTTTCAGCTGATACAGCCTATGTAGGTTAAACTTGCTCTCAGTTCTTCTGCTTTATTATCATCAACATTTTGATTTTCATTTACCTTGTTGTTGCGTTCAACCCCAGTATAATCTGCTTCAGGTGGAATCTTTATATGTAGCTCAGCTTCATAGGCTCCTTCCCCATCATTCCTTGGATTTATTATGAGCATGACACAGTTTTCTTCTCCAATTATTAGCTGATCTTTATCCCTAGATAGAACATACTACTTGTCAAGAGTTAAAACAATTACGATTTATGTATGAATAAAGCAGAAGGACATTTTGCTCTTATAGCATCTGTTCTGGAAAATATTCTGTGAACACAGAATAAAACATTTTCCATAAAAAATGACCCCATGGAAAAGTATGCCAGCACCTGGGTAGGAAAGAGGTCAAGAGAAAACACCACTGTGGACAATCTAAGTGGACTACCACAGAAAGTGAATGTTACTGGTATAAATTTCAGAGCCTGACTACTTTCTAACCAGAAATAAGTATTTAGTGGAGGAACTACTTACCGCAGAGGTCCCATCAGCATTGTTTTCTGGAGGGCACAAAGGTGGTGGGATTCCAGTTTTCCCCTCATGCCAGTTGTAAAATGAACAATGACAGAAGATCTCCTGAGACCTGCAATGGTACTGTGCCCTTTCCTTTCACAGCTACATACTGATTTTGACGGCACAGAGTCACATAACTGTCAGAGGTTCCCCACTTGTCCTGCCTGGCATATTTCTTCCTCCATAGGAGGAATTGTTGCCATGTTTTGAAATTCTTTTATTCTGAGATTCATTTACTTCACTGTATATTGAGTTCACGAGAATTGTGTCCCGAGTTCAAAGTCACTGGCACACTGAAATAAATTTAAAATCTCCTTTGAAAAACATTTTGTATTATCTCTTGGCATTCAGAGAACTAGAGTCGTTCCTAACAAACACTTGCGAACTATATTTTCTATGATAACCATTAAACATCATGAATGTGCCTGACAAAGATATATTTTCAAGTCTATATTTCTCCATTTCTTGGTTTTACAGATGAAATGGATGTCCAAATTAAAATCTGAAAATCAGGTAAGAATGAGTAGCTATAGCAAACAACAGAACTGTGTTCTTCACATTTCATTCTGTTAAAGCAGTTAGAAGTGTCTGGATTTTGTTATATACAGCATCATTTATTTTATTTAACTTACGGCACAACAGAAAGCTGCAAGTCAGGAATGCACAAGTTGTCCTCCCCACAGTCAACCAGAATGTAAGCCTGTATTGTTGCAAAATAAAAGAATTATAACACAGTTAGTACATGCGTCAAAGTCCAAATCACTTCATTAATTATCACTAACCTAAATGTCTTAAATATCACTAGCACGGCCCTAGTGAATTAATCTCTTTTTCCTTTCTATAAGTTCCTTTCCACATGAGTAGCTGGAGACTATTTAGACTGTCAACTACATCCTTAGCAGAACAATATCATCTTTCAGGTCCTTTCCCACACTAACTTGGCTTACATATTCTAGAATACAATCAAAACTATGAACACAACAAAGTTTTGGAAATGCTTTAAAGGCCTGCCTGGTTCTGTATTTATATTGAATTTACATTTTGAATTAATTAAATCCTTGTTGTATAATTTCTGGGCATGATATTCTGTTTTAAGGAAGATGACACACATAGTATTTGTAAATGCTTTCCCATTTATATACAGAAAAAGTGGCATGCAAAATTCATACCTGTTCTGTTACTGAGTTTTTCTGGTAATAGTTCAGTATTGGTTTCACAGTCAAGCTATCTTCAAAATTCGATTCATCCAAACTATAATTGAAGTTTATATTGATGGGAGACAACTTATCTCTAAATTCTGTTTCATCCTGTGAGTGACAATCACATAATAAAAAACAGTGGTTTAATATTATTATTTCTGATTAGTATGGTCCAGCAACAGATTCAGACTTTAGTCTTTATTGAAGGTAAAGATATGATTCTTTGACAGCTGCTGGCCAAATTCTGGCTGTGTAATGTCATTAGGAAATCAAAGTGATTCACCAGTAACTGGAATGCCCAAAACACATTGCCTCTACAGCCCCACATCTGGAAGAAGCTGGCTGAGCTGAGTAGATGCAGAATTTTTTTCAAAGCATTAGCCTAAAATGAAGCTGTTTAAGAGACACACAGAACCAGCTCCTATCAGCTACTGCCCACCTTCCTTTCAGAAAGAAGGTAGGGCATGTGTGGATTTGTGGAGGTAATATTGTTGGTTTGTTCCATAACCAAGAATTTGTATGGATTAGCAACGGTAAAACTCCACCACCTTTATTGCCCAGATACTTCCTTACATACTACTTGAGACTTCTCCATTTCATCTCCCACTGCATTTCTAGGGCCAGCCTTGGAATCTGCTTCAATTGCATGAAGCAATTCCAGGTGCAAGTGAGTAACTAATAACCCTTTCTCCTTCACAACTTCAGTTCCACAGTTTTAATTTTTCTAAAAATATTTTAAAATATCTTAAAAATATTTTAAAAATATGTTATTTTTATGCCAATATTGCTGGTGACATTCCTTTAAAATATCTATTGAAACTGAACTTGCATGAAATTTAACATGTTTAGTTGATTATCCCACTGTGAATACTAAAGGGAGAGCAATCTTGTACTTTTGTATCAGGAGATCCAGTATTTAATCAGAATTTCCAGAAGAGCATGAAATGAATGTATTTTTGCACAAAGGAACTGTACACTCTTCAAAGGAAGTCTTTCTTTTATACTTACGTTGGCAAAAGACGAGTCAAAGATTTACATGGGAAATTTTGCCCAGGTAGAAGAATGTTCTGGACACCCAGATGAGGCCTTTCTTATCTCACATTTCTGTAGTTTTGGGATCTAAGAACAATTGAAATTGTTCTTCCTTTTCCAGTGGCTCCTTTTTTATTATTATCTTTAAATCCTGATACTACTCAAATGATGAAGACAGTACAAAATATGGTAAACAACTTACTCTGAGATAAACAAGGAAGTTCTGGCAATGGTGCTGTTTCTGTCTTTCTATCACAATGGAGAAGTAATGATATGACTGATGGTAATCAAAGAAGAGGGTCCTCTTAACAGCTCCTTTCTGTTTCAATGAATCTAATTGCAATTCACCTTTCAACACTAAAGGATATAAGTAAATCAAGTATTAATTTATTTAAATGGAAAGAAAAAATAGCAAACAATTCATCATGCATTATCATTAATTACTCTAACAAAGTCTCCATACAAAACTAATCCATGCTTTAAGTGTCTAGCACACTAGTTTTTGATCCAAAGTATGGAATACGTGTAATTTAAGTTTTCTAGTTTAATTTACAGATCATATGTGTACAGGACTTCCTCTCTTTAAATTTTTTTTTTTAAAACAACATTCTCCAACAGGGTATGTTCTTAGTTTTATTTGGAAAATGGCTTAAACTGAATCAAAAATCTTTCAAGCAAGTAATACAAGCTTCGTGTTGTAATACAAGCTTTTGTGTGTATATATAGATATAGATACTTTTAAAATTGTATTTTCTTGCATTAGGATAATCTCACTCCCATCATCTTTCAAGATGCAAGAAAAAAATACATCTGAAATTGCGTGGGCCAGAGTAAATTATAGAAATATAAAGCATTTCTTACCTATCTCATCTGAAATACTTTGACCTTCAAAGTCAGCACAGACTCTTACAGCAAAGCTACAAATAAAAATGTAGAAGTAATTATTAGCAGAAAGAGAGCTGACCTAGGAATCAGCAGTTCCTAAGTCATGCCTTTTATATTTTCTTAAAAAGATGTTCATTGAGATCTGTATTTAGCTACCTACAATATTGCCTTCTCCTAGGCTCCACTAGTAATCAAAGAAGACAGGGTCTGAATATCTTCCTGGGAAAGGTATGGAGAAGAGTCTCTGTTTCCGTGAATTCTTGAGACAGTCTACAGAGATCACCCTTCTAATACTATTGGCAAAGTTGGGTTCCTCATGTTGAGCTTCAGCAAACCACCTTTGTATGAGGCTGTCTGTAGAAGTCCTTTCTGGTTCATCATGGTCAAATAAGAAAAATCCTTGAGCGTGTAGTCAACACTCAAGCTGTTTTCTAACAAATCAAAACACACAGGATGCCAATGTGTTCCACTGGTATTACTGTAAGACTTCCGTGATTTCAAGAGGCTAGAATTCATTCCAAACATAACAACTGAATAGTTCAACTTTTGTGGCACAAGACTAACCAGAATGTACTGTATTTAATTTGCTAAGTTTTGCAGAAGTTGGCAGGTACATGACCTAAACTAAAGCATAGAGAAACCGGTTATTCATGTTCTTTATGTAGTATGCTAATGCAACACATTCTACACAGTGCAACACATTATAAGTTAATTGTTTTTCTTTTGCCTGTTCATCAGTGTATAGCAAACTTTTTGAGCCTAGCAATATTGACATCACAATTATAACTGTATTATATAAACATCACCTCAGCCATAATTAGTTATTTCTCATAATTAACATTTATTTCCATTTTTCTGTAAGACAGGCAATAGATTTGCAGTTATATTCAACAACTGACAGGAGAAGCCTCTCATAGTTTTATTGGCTGATATGTTCTAACAAGACTTACTACAAAAATTAATTAAAAACCCCTAAAAATTATAAATGCTTATAGTAAAGTTTCTCTTTGTAAGGAATCTATGCAAGTTATATAAATATTTAACTGAATCACATTTTTAAAAAGCTTTCACAAATTACTCTGGATGGCTAGGGAAGCAGTTATAATGATGCTTGTTGATGCTATTAGCACGGCATACTCCCCTGATGACTGACAAAACAAGAAATTTGTCACTGGAAAGGTGCTCTTAATTTTTGCTGTCACACTCCACAAGGACTTAGTTCTTCACATCATTATTCCCATAGAAGTCCCATATAAAGCAACAGAATCACTCAAGTGAAAGATCTGGGACTTCCTATAACTTGCAAGTGTCCCTGGTTACCAAACATTCATAAAGAATATTTTCATGGCTTCAGAAAACATTTTGTTTCATATATGGAAGACTCAGTTAAACATGGCTTGTTGGTCAGCACTGGAAGATAGGACATCAGCTTGGGTTAAATAAAAAGGTATTTGAATTAGCCATTGCTCTTAATCTCCTCACTAGTGTTATACGATATACTAACTTCTTGATGCAGTGGATTCAAAACCAGTAACATAGCCTTTAAAATAACCTGTAATCACATTCTAATTGCATGCTTGCTTCCTCTGACAAATGTAATGAAACTGTGCCACATCTGGGATTCATGTCATTCTCACGACCTTATTAAACACTTTCCTCTCGGGCAAAAAAATTGCCTTATGCCATTAAACTCTACTTAACTGTAGCCTTCAAATGACATTACAGTCCATGTAGAAATTGCAAATTCAGTCATATTCCTCCTTCTTTACAAGTATGAGTTAACTCATACAGAAACGATTGTTTCCTAATACACAAGGACAAGAACAACAAAAATTAGAAAAGCTTGTCTAATTGCATAAATGCAATTTAGACATGAGGCTTCACAGGCCAGTCTCGCATGTCATAGTGTAAAAGTGTATTTTCTCAAATGTGAACTCATGAACTACCATCATGTATTAAACTCAGTGATCTTGCTTTGGAGGTCTCACATAATTTTCGGACTGTCGTGTTTAAAAAAAGGTTGAGTTAAAAATCCAGCTTGAAATGCTTTACTTGTTAAATGGCACAATTTCAGTGTATGTTTGATTTACTGTAATGTATAGAATAATTCATCATACTCATTTGATAACCAAAGTCATGTTTTTAAGTATTACTGTAAGAGCTGAGATTTAACCCTTCCACTGCAGGCAGAGCATGTCCAAAAGGGAATGGCAGTGCAAAAAAGCA